TGTCCAACGAGCTTGAGGTCACCATACGAAACTAATCGAGTCGTTCTGTCCTGTTTCTTCTTCAATTTGTCTTCCCAGAGTATGTAAGCTTTTACACAACTGTAATACCGGTTCTGAAAATCTCACGCATTTTGCTGACAAAAAGTTGGCAGGTATATAATACCGGTTCTGGAAAGTTCCAGAAATATCGAACTACGTGTTTCTAGGAGCCTAAACTACAGGTTCTCCATCGTAGATCTAATATGAGATTGCTGTTAGTGACCAATGTGCCATATACATGTATATACTGCACAATTCGCACGATTTCTCTTCAAATTTGAAAGCCACTTGTAAGCTAACTAGGATTCCAAAAGCCTATTCAGTTGCACCAGCAGTTGCATGCTCTAGCTGACATTGCCATCAAATAATTGAGCTTAGCTAACTAGCCTAGATTGAATTTTTTTATTATTATTCTTATCATTATATATTATTAGCTGTGTTAATAGGTTACTATGTTTTCCTTCTTCAGGGAAAATGATTTCAATCATTCAATCAATTGGAAGGTTGAAAAAAACACTATAAGCCAATTGTCTAATGGAAAGATCGTCCCAAACTCATCGTTCATTTTTGGTAAGACAAGAAATATACACAGCAACTTATTTACTGTAAACATTAATCAATTAAGAGGCAGTATAGATCTTTAAAACTGTCCCATGCATTTACAGTATGTCTGCCCTATAATGTAGTGATTATGGCATTTCATCTTTCAAAATGACGAGTCACAAGTTAACGGGGAAGGGGTTAGAGAAGGAGGGGAATTCAGCCTGCCACTGAATTCTAGCTTTTTTCTGGTCAGCTTTCCTCATTTGTATTCAAATGTAATCAAACATGGGTCTGAGGAAATTTCAGGGACAAACTACATGCACAAAATTGTCTCGCCATCAATCTCGTTCCCAAAGCCCACGTGTCTTTTGGTCACTGACCAAAAGACAGGTGGGCTCTGGGAACGAGATTGCCATGTTTTAAACCAAGGCACGCATGCGCCATGAAACCAGAACTCCAAAAATTTTGGAGTCTGGAAATTGATTACTCCAGAGCTCCGTGTCTTGGCACTGACCAAAAGACATGTGGGCTCTGGGAACGAGATTGGTCTCACATATACATGTACTACATGTTTGATTGCATTGTAATGATGAGAAGAGAAGTTCACTGTGAAAGGGATGTACATAAGATCTTATTTAGGGTAATCATTTTACAGTTGCTCTACATACATGTACATTATGTACTAACTAACTAAATATATTAATTAATTTTTAAGTTTTTTTTAATCAAATAATTTTTGTTTGATATGATTACAATACCTGTAGCTGAATTTCTTGTTTTAATTTATTCATAACTATTGGATAATATTTTTATGATTTCTATTTTTAGTGTCCAATTAGTAGAGGGTGTTTAGCCTTGATGCTTAGATAAAGTTATTGTTGTTCTTTTGACGACATTTTTATGTAATTTCATAACTGGTCAAATGTTGGACATGGGCTAGGCATTGAATGAAAATAAATTACTGACAATAATGCAATCCATCAGTGCTCCCTCATCATAGGCCTGCAATGCGTGCAGAGAGCTAGATTATAATGCTCTCTGCACGCATTGCAGG